GTATATCAACGGTCATATGTCAATCTAATGTTTTTGGTCATAGCATCTTGATTCATATGTCGCAGCTAATATACGCAACAATTTAAATACGAAATAAGAATCATTATTTACTTTACCCTTGAGTTACGTCCCAGTGTTCACGGTAATGGACGTCTGTGTCTTCGGCAGGTGTAGAGCTAACAATGTAGTGCTACTTAAAGGTGAAGTGCTCCCAGTGTAATATGCCATTGGGAACATACTAGCACTAAGTCGCTAACTGGTTAGCAAGATGCTTCTGAGACACTGGCCACAACCAAACTTGCTTGCGAACCTTCCGCCACAACAATCCCCTTAATAAACGACCAATCACATTCACTTTATTCACTCATGTAAAGTCGGGCACGACTCGGGAGAATTCAGAAATGCAACGGTTGGAACATCCGCTTCCATACGACTTTAAAAACGTCCAGATTCGTGGTTGTCCTTTTATGGAGAGAGGGAAACATCTGCAGTTTAGGGGATACGACTGAAAAAGTTTGGTGTCGTTCAGTCACTTTTTTAGTCCTCAGAACCACTAAAAACTTTTGTTTAGACCTCTGTGACTAGGACTGGTTTATGTTTATGTCCAGTTTGGAGAGATGTTAGTTTCCTTAATTAGTGGTCAGAATGTTAAAGCTCTTAGGTTTATACATAGTCTTGCTTCCTCTCGGCTTGCAAATAACTAATAGGATTGGAGTGGAGCTTAGCTTTAAGCCTTTTTTACAAATGTAAACATGCAAAGGATGTCATGCTTTTGTATCCAGCCCCCTAAATCACAGTAGTTTGTAAAACTGCACCCAGCTCAACTGGGTTAATGTCTGAACTTTGAATTGGACATCTTAACCCATGAATATACGGTTGCCAGCTTATCTGGCAGGTTTACTTCCTGGACTGCCCTTTAGGTGTCTCCATTCATTATGTTTAGCATTGCTGTATGTAGGGAATATTTTTTTATGAACAATGCTGCACTAATTTTTCACAGTATTTAGATTTTTGTTTGTTGGCCTGGAAATTTAGATGTTCTCACCTGATCAAAGCAGATGAGTTAAAGTGTTTGCTGTATTTTGACCATACAAAGTCTCTAAAGGCGTTCTTCTTGCCATTCTGACAGGGTTTCCACGAGTCATTAACCCTTTAAAGCCCGATCCAAGAATAAAACAAAACAGAAAATAACTTTTTTTTTTGGTTTGAAGTCCTTATTTGGCCTTTTAACAAAATATGTAAAAAGAAAAAACAAAAATACATTTTTGATATTAATAATTTATTACTATGTGATAAGTCAAGATTATTTTCTGTGTAGTCTTCTGCCCTCTGTTATCAGGTATATCTGATTGTGTACAATAGGATTTTGAGCTTTTTTTTACCATTAAATTATGCAAAAGGTGTCAGACGCAAAACATTTCAGAAACCGTATGTATCAAATATGATACATTTGGCTTTACAGGGTTAAAAATCATTAAAGGTCATTAAATGTGATTATTCTGGCATTAAAAATGCTTTCTTTAAAAAAAAAAAGTCAGATATATTATATCGCGATATGTTTGTGCTGAACTGCTTTATATAGCCGTACGTTCAGAAAAGAACCTTGAGGCGGAGAAAAAAATAGAAAATGGGGAAAATGCTCATTTCAACAAAAGTGACTGGAAAACGAGGAATTCGGGACATGGCTGCAGCCTGACAACGGGTACTTGTTGATGGCATTAAAAGTATTTCTAAGAGCTTTAAATTAGAGTTACTCATTCCTGTATAAACCCTGCATGATTAGAGTTTTTAAAGTTATGTAGAGTGGTGTGAATATGAATTATTCAGCTTTGTATTTGGGAAATATTACATAACTGAAACCAATTAGGATGGAATAGGACCAGTTTGTACACGTTTGGTTAAAGGCACTCCAGTGCCTCACATTAGTGTTGGAGCTGATTCCACGGTGCAGGTTCGGCATTATTAAACACACACAGATGGAGTGGTGCATTGCCTTTTGTTTGTCCATATTAATTACTTAAGTGGGAACTGTGGCAGGTTAATGAGACTGCCTGACTGTTAAACTGGTTGCTGCTTCTAATGGGTCTCCCTGGAAGAGGACGAGTCATTTCTCAGTGGACTCACTCTGTCTAAATGACAGACAAATGAAAGACAAAATGAGATTTTAGATCCAAAAAAAAAAAAACCCAGCCAGATCTTTCATTTGAGCTGCTGCTGATGCCTCTAGCGGAGTCCGGAGACTCAAACGTTTTCTGAACTTTAATGTCAGAACGAATTATAAAAACTCACTGCTGTCTGTTTAAACCCAAACAATGTTTTCCTAAAGATCACAACAAAACAGGTTCTGTTGTTCTGTAGCAAAATTCAGTGTTTCTTCTAATGACTTCTGTTTTTTTCAGCAAAGCTAAGGTAGTTGAGTGTTTTTCACCTTTAATTAAAATGTATATATCACTATAACTCACTGTGTGTTTCTCTCCCTAGGCGGGTGTTCCTGGAAGTCAAGGTAATGCAAACAACATTGGACAGCCTCAAGGGGTGGCCAATAAAGTTGTGGCCTGGAGCGGCGTTCTGGAGTGGCAAGAGGTAAAAAAAAAAAAAAAGAAAAAGAAACAATGGACTATACGTTTTCTGTCTTTATTTTTGCAAACGTAGGAACAGCTCTAAATAAAGATTGCCCTCACTATCTTTTCAACGTTGATGTTAACATGAAGCTTTAAGCTTGTGCACCTTTTTGCCACAGTCTCCTTTTTATTGAAAAAGGAAAGACGTTTGTTAAGACTGATTATCTTTATTGAAAGTGTTTTAACGGCAAATAGGAAATACTTTTTCCTTCCACAACATTTTCCATTTATATGCTTGGAGTGCAGGATGATTTTAACATTTTGAACATTTGAAATGTAATTTGGAATTACCGTAAATTCCGGACTATAGGGCGCACCTGATTACAAGCCGCACGCTCTAATTTTAGAAAGAAAATCAATTTTGTACTTTTATGAGCCGCACCGGATTTTAAGCCGCATGTTTTCCACGTTGTATGAGATATTTACAAATAAAGATATTACACGTGAGCATTTTTTTAACGTTTGATTTAATCTGTATGATAAAACAAACAAATACGGTACATATTATGAATGCTTTTTTTTTTTTCAAACTACCTGTAACACATTTAAATATACGTATGTGTCGGTAACACGCAAATAACGCTGCATATACCGCTACTTTTAATTGAACAACACACAGAACATTGCAGCCGACCAGGAAAAGTCATTAATCACTTTCTTCTTCCTGCTGTGCTCTAAAACCCTCAAAGTCCTCTTCCTCGGTGTCTGAATGGAACAGCTCCAGGATGCTGTAACTGACTTCAGTCCCATCCTTGTCGCTCTCACTTGAGCACTCGCGGTCCTCTTCCGGTGATGCTGGATGTTTTCACACGGCTCCACGCATTGAGAACTATGAATACTCATCAATTTTATTGGTCTGTTTTTCGCGCCATGAAAAAAAACATGTATTAGCCACTCTGTATTGTAGGCCGCAGTGTTCAAACAGTTGGAAAAAAGTAGCGGCTTATAGTCCGGAATTTACGGTAATTGATTTTATTTATTCATTCCATTTCACATTTAATTTTGCACTTTTTCCTTCCACTAGACTTTCCACAAATATTCTTGGATGCGGCACTTTTGAGTCTGGTTTTTCTGTGGTGAGGATCCTTGTGTGTCCTGAGGTCCCCAGTCCTCTCTGATTTCATTGGCCTTAACTTGTTACCTGACTCCGCCAGATAGATTTGCTCCGCATATCCATCTGGAAATCTTCCGTTGAAGTAATTTTGGGAAGGGGCGAAAATACTGGTTAGCTGATTGGCCTATGTTGGTGATAGACAGGCCAAATAAACCAATCAGATCAACGAAGCATATGATGTACTAACAGAGCCAAGACTAAAGTGTTGCCAACTCAGCAACTTTGTCGCTATATTTAGCGACTTTTCAGA